TTGTATTATTTTGCACGCAATTAAATTGCATTCTTATAATTAGATCATGGCTATTCAACACTAATTCTCTTGGCATTTGACAGGAAGTTTCAACAAAATAAGATAAAACACATGAATTTGAAGAATAAGTAACTGTTGTATTTTTAAGTTCAAAATATTCCTAAATTACAACTTGACTCTTAAAAAGAATACATCTTAAGAGTTAACTTTACAGTGAATTGTGTTGAGAACTCGACCTTTTAGTGTTGAGTATCATCTGATTCTGAGAAAAACATAAGGAGATCACTTTCCGATCTTGAATACACACACATACATATGCACACACTCTCTCCAGTGATAGCTGATTAAAATTTAAAAACAAATACTTTGAAGTCAGTACTCCCTGACCGCAAAACTAATGAGGAAATTTAAAATTATTCTGAATTAGTACTTTTGTTTCTGAGATTTTGGTTTATAGTTTTTAATTCAATATCAGAAGTAAAACATGAAATAAGAGACCTGGTTGAAATAGCATATTTTCAATAAGTGAGAATCCAGGTAGAATTATATACAATTAACAACAGTGAATTTGCATTGACTTTTACAAATATTGTAAATATAAAATTGTAGATTCTTTTAGTACTTTAATAAGACTCTCCTTTCATGTTTTATCGCATTCACATTTTATAACCATTATAAATATGAAAAATACTTCATTAGTTCCTAAGCATTTTATTTTAAAGGGAAAAAAGGCTTCCGACAACTGCTGAAAGGAATGGTATGTTTTCTTTTGATGACTGTGCTGTAGGTATTTTTGACCAGACTGATTTTGAATTCCCTAGAAAGAACTTATCTCACTCTTATCATACTTCTACATATTCCTCCTTAAAGTGTCAAGGAATTGAGTTCTAAACAGTGGCCAAGGATATAAAAAGTAGCTCTAGAATAGCCCGTCACCTTTCAAATGGGATGGAAATTTGTACACATGATGTGTGTGAAAGGCCATTTCATTCATGGGGTATTGAAATTATAGCAGTAATGCATGTGATATAGCATTTGAATATAGTGTGTATACTCTACAAAGCTACTAGAACTCTGAAAAAAAAATAAGGAAATGTGAACACTGATGAAACAAAGATGATTTCTGTAATATGAAAGCAAGGGCAAACTCCCCAAAGACCTGTTCTTTAAGTATCTGTTTTACATCTCCTTTGACTTCTCTCTCTGAAACTGATGGTTAATACAGTTTAACAAAACAGTTTAAAGAGTTTCATATCCTCTGTTGATTACTGGAATCTGTTGGCTCTCATGAAAGGTTAGAGCAGCCAGGACACACATTTTAGGGTGGGCATAATCATAGTGTTAAACTGCAAAGGCCCTTCCAAGTATTGCCGTCACAAATAGAAAGTTTAAGTAATTTGGAAAGCAATATTCTTGAACACAATGAGCATCATTTAAGCAGTTTTCATATGGTCAGGCTT